CCCTGTATATAGAATATTATTGCAATATAAAATGTAAGTATTTGTTAGATACCGAATCTAAATTGCATTTCTTGTATTATATAAGCGCTACGCGCCGTAGGTAAATCAGAAACACAGGTGGATACAACTTGAGTTTTGACAAGTATACTAAAAAATGCGTCTGTCATATCTATCGGTGGCTTTTGCCATGATCTTTGTTATGGCAATTATGCATGTAGAAGCAAAACCTCTTTCTGAAGGAGATGGAATGAGTGAGGCCGATCCATTTCTTGGTATCGTCGTAAGTAATTTTTATAACAAAAACTTTATAGTTAAAGCACATTTTCCAATTTGGTAGAATTTTGAATAATTTTGATAAGTATAGAAATATCTTCTCGCAAAAATACGTGCGTTTACAGTAATAATGTTTTATAGAGATTTTTCTCTCTCTCTCTCTCTGTCTCGCTTTATACATATACATATATATATATATACATATATACATATATACATATATATTTATGTATATATATATTCATGCATTTTTATATTATTTTATTTAATATAAATCTGTCTTTTTTTTCTTAATCTTTTTATTTCTTAAAGATTTGATTTGCATACTAATTTTTTATCTTAAGTAATTTTTTGTTTTAAGTATCGGGTAAGTTTCCGCCCTTTCTAAATAAAAATTTAAAGAAAAATGCGACCGGAACATATGGAAATCCGAACGATTGTTGTCTGGTGAATACCGCGGATGGGGCAAGATTTCCCAGTTCAATCCTTCCAAGTTATTTTGTACCTTCGCAACGTAGAGCCTAGCGTTATCGTGTGGCAGAATCAGCTTTTTGTGCCTATTATTCCATTCCGGCTGTTTCTCTTTTAAAGCTCGGTTTAAACGTATTAACTGTAGTCGGTAACGATCCCCAGTGATGGTTTCAGAAGCTTATAATAAATATCGCCCTTCTGATCCCCCCTTAAACATAATTTTCCAACCGTGGATATTCCGTTTTGGAATTGGACCTGGTTTACCCGCCATCGCCCATAATTTCAGTCGTTTGGGTCTGTCGTAGTGGATCGATTTTTCATCGCCAGTGACAATTCGATGCGTTTCAGCAACATTTTTCTTCAGAATATAATAATGTGTATGTGAAGTAATACTTCCCGCAAATGCTGCTCCAGTGGGGTAAATGTTGCCACTTTCGACGCGAAAGAAAAAAAATGTTTATTCTTCAAACGACTGTCTACTACTATGATTCAAAGCTTACCTTACTCACACATACACTTTCAAAACAAGTATAGCCGTTCAATTAAACACGAAATTAGTACCGCTAACGACACCTTTCTCACAAGGGCGGAAACTTATTCCCATACCCAATAACTTTAATGAGAAATATTTAGATTTTTAAATACATTTTGTTTATTATGTAAACGTAATAATTATTATTTTTAGGGGAAAGTGCTAGGAAAAGTTGCTAAAGCAGTGGTAAGTGTGCAAATACTACACGGTCGTTAAATAATATACATACATATTAGCAATGTCTTTGATGTATTAATATTAATAAAAAAATGTTTTATACTTAGGCTCCTAGCCTCGTGGGATATGCTGCAGATAAAATAGGAAAATAAGAAATGTGTACAGGAAACTATAATTTAGTTGTACATAAATAATAAAATTATTTAAAGGAGAAATACAAGTTGCATTTGTATATCAATTGTATTTTCGTTTCTTTCTGAAATATAAAAAGAAAATAAAATCCTATATATTTGCATTATAAGCATTGTGTTTTATTTACCGATATTTCATATATAATATCATGTTGTTCTCGTAGTTTACCGTTTATACATATGTGATTCACTATTATACATAAATACGATTATATTTGTAATTTAATATTGCAAATACCTTGAAAATTTAATATATTTATTTTTAAATTTTTTATCGAGTTGGTTAAGACGCCCGCACGGATTGAGGGAGGTCCAGGTTCGAATCCTGGTTGGGGTATTATTTTTTGCAATAAGAATTTTAATTCAATAGGGGAAAGAGTAAATTTATATACATATAATGCTAAGTATAGCATTAAAGTTAAATTAAAATAATTTATAAAAATCGCTCTGCGATTTTTAGAACATGTGAATTCACTGATGAGAATGATCCTACCGAGGGGAAAATCTGTGTCATATGTCCGATAGTAACGGCGCACAGTACAGAGTATGAAAAATACGGTATATGGATTCACTAAGCTATTTAATGGCCACCACCTTGCCTAGGTCCTAATTCAATGGGCGTTTAAATTTCAATTTGATTTATATCAAAATAGGACCGAGAAATATTCATGGTTAAATTTTTTATGTTTTTACAAAAAGTATATATTAAATGTTTATGTATACAAAATGTATAATATTATTAGAATTTAAAATGAAAAGTGTTAAATAATAAGATATTTTGGAAGTATTAAATAATAAAATATATGTATATATATACTGTTAATACATAATTTATTTGCCAACACGAATTTTCCATAAATATATCAATATTTATCATATATCTTCTGTCTGCGTATATAATAATATCATCTTATAATATACTATTAATGTGTGTGTATGTGTTTGTGTATGTATTATCTTCATAGATCTTTTAATACAGTATTTTTGTACCAATCCGACTTGCGTTTATGAACTCACATATGATTCTCGTGCACAAAATGATGTTTTATGAGCTTTTCTTTATTTTTGCAGATTGCACTCGAAAAAATGCCGCTATGACATCGTTTTAATTGTGCGACAGTCATAAATATCCTGGGAAATTGATTATTTTCTTCTGCAGATATGTCCAGATATGTTTCTAAGTGTTTATTTTATTGCTGCTAATTATATTTTGTACTTCTTTGTTTATATCCTCCTAATCTCGAAAATATTTTGTTTATATCCAATCTGCAAAAATATGTGAACAAACAGGCATATGCACTTATGCAGTCACGCAATTGTAGTGTGATTAACATAGTTATAATAAATATATTTAATTGAAAATTTTTTAAATAAAAATAATAGAAATAAAAAGTTATTCTAGATTTAATTTTTTAATAAAACAAGACAAAATCAAGATGTTATATAATTACACTGGCCTGCGAAATTTTTAGTTTTGTTAGTTACAAAAAGCAAAGTAGGTGAATTTGATAGATTTTTTTAACGTTAAAAACGAATGTGACCGCAGAATTTTCTTAGTATGTTATAGATCCTCACTGGATACTATTAGTCCTTGCGTGTGTAAATAAGGCTTAACTCTCGCAGACCTGTAGTAGCTGTAATATTGTTATTAATAACAATATTACAGCTACTGCAAATTTCTATAATATTTCTATAATACTATTTATTATTTACATATATAATGCTATTAAAATGATAGCACCTAAGTAATATAAGTAAATTTAATTAATCCAATATTTTATTAATCCATAATTTTTACGAGTTATCGACTTATTTGATTTTATTGATAACGATGTATTTAGAATTCATTTTTTAAAGTAATGTTTTGTGAAATATAATAAAAGAAAAATAAAATCAAGATCTTTTATCGAAAAAAACCTAATAGAGAACACTGAAGACTGATATGTTAGTTTGGATATCAAGATAACCAGTGTTAAATAAACTTTTAACGCATCAATTCGTTTGCTTGCTGCTGTAAGTACGATCCCGTAAGTTCTCTTACAGTAACCATGGTATTGTCTCAAGAGGGTCTAAATAATTCGTATATGCCTTGTCGAATATCCTGCTAGACTACGACTCTCGACCAGCAAGAGTGAGTTCAATTAACGTCTTTTCTTTAGTCTACTTCTTCTTCAAGATTCACGGGTAATTAACAGCAATATGCACGTGTATGCAACAATATTTTATAGTGTTATATTCCATGCTAAAAAGACCGTCATATTTGGTATTACACTAATGATTAGGAAAGGCAGTGCAAGCGTTGATTCTACTATTATCTCGAAGTCATTTGGCATTCGAGTCCAGCATCATTTTCAATTGAAAAAAAGATTTCGCTATTTTTACGAGAGTTTTAAATAACATTTAGTCGTATATATACGTATGTATAATGTATATATATGTGAAACATAAAAATTAATATTCTAGGATAACTGTACTTAAAAAATTTCAGTTTACTATCAAAATGGAGATTTTTCGCCTAATGAATATTATTTCTCGTTTTACTCGTTTCTTAAGGTCGTAATAATTTCTATATGCCCACATCGGTACCGTCTTTAATAAATAACTATTTATCCTGTACTATATCTAATATAGTAATTATTATTTATAATAATATATCTAAATGATTGGTGAACCAAAACCAACTTCGAGATAATATCATTATCTCTTACAATACATTTTAGCGTTAAGTTGATTGCGCGCAGTGAAACATCAGTGAACAGTGACGGCGAGATGCAACGAATACATTTGTACTCGAAGATAAACTACTTGCTAAAGTACGAAAGAAAACTTTGTGGATTGCGAGAATACGATTATTATACAGCAGTGTACCAGAAAGTGGTGTTTGAAGTTTAAGATCAATGAAATGTTTGTTGAACAACAAATATCGTTATATAACTGGGGAACGTCGATGATTAGTATTGTGGAAAGCGAGTGTCTTTAAATGCCGCGTGTCCGAAATGTTCGCGTGTTAGAAATGCAAAACTGCAAACAAACGGCTAAGGATGTATATTCCAAATGAAACTGCAATTACGCGTGCACGTCTAACAATTGACAGCGATTACTGTCTTTACCTCCTCTTTCACATTAATTGTAAGTCTAATGTACAACATCACCTAGATCTATGTATTATTAATCACAGTGATACACGACGTGTAAACGTACCTACATTTATAGCCAGTGTCAGGTATATATTCAACATACAAATATCAGCTCAGTCACGCTACACGCAACATTCGCTATATAGAAGTACTATAATAGTTGCGCACAGTAGTTGATTAAGTGTGGATAGAAATGAATCGCACAACCCGTCTTTTCTGAATAATAACTTTATACTGGCATCAAAAATCGCTGCAACGTATTTCTCGCCAGAATATATTATCCTATATAGCACATAGTAAAGAGGTTCTTTTTCTGTATAAAATTATTCCAAATAATGACGGAGTGTGTAAATATCTTTTCTTTTATCCACTACATTAATCTGGTATCAGCACGTTTTTTTAACATATGTATTTACGTGTACGTTCGTGTGTGCACAACTGTCACGCGTGTAATTATACATACACATATCGTCGACCACTGATTGTACGATTAGGATTTGTGCCGGGCACAAACAAGCGATCACATTCAAGACCCCCACGTTGTATTTGCTCTATTGTCTTCCTTGAGTCATTTACGCTAAAAGCAAGCTGACGTTAAAATATATCTGAGCTTGCAAACAATTATACGTCATTATACAAATCTTTTTTTAAATCTATATATTTCATACTCGGTCATCTTAACCTTTCTCCCTATTGCGCTCTTCTTTGTCTAAATATCTTATTGAAAACTTAAAGATATGCGTAGCTTAAATTATACATGGCGCGTAATAGCTTTTGGTTGAATAAAATGTGGGGAAAAGCAGCCTAAAAGTATTTATGTAAAGTTAATTATGTTGCTATGTTAACACGCACTTAAAAATAATACATTGCTATGTCAATAGCATTTTACGAGCACTTTGTAATACATATATATTCTATATAATGCTTTAACGATATCTTATGCGAGTGATATACCTATAATAGCTAAGTATTATATTTTAAATATTTAACGATTATTTATATCAGTCGCATATTTTCGTAAAAAATATATTTCACTAGAATAGCAAAGGAACTTCGTGATAAAACAGCTATCACAACAATAATTTTGTTATACCGACATAGATCACAGAATTAAGCTACATTTATAAAAAATTTTTAATATTTATATTTTTTATTACACAGCGTTCGGAAGTTAGATTCTTATCTTTAATTAAGTTAATGAAATTTGTTATTATATTCTTTTAATATTTTTCATGTTTTTACTAAAACGTAATTACTAAAACATAAATACACAATTATTTATAATAGCAATGTTTTATTACGTATTTTTATTATCCTGATATTTTTCGCGTTAATGTATCTTTATTATTTTAATATTTTACAGCTAATAGATTAATTCAAAATTTGATGCTGATTTGGTAATGCAACTTTGTGAGTAATAAATAAATACGCTGTGTAATAAAAAAAATTAAAAAGATGTTTCTAACAGGTATATGTGAATAAGTAAATATATAACATTTAATGAGCGATACTAACATTTTTTGGTATAATAGTATATCAATCTTCAAGCTCAGTATAGTTGATTGTATAGTTTTGCGCTGACATATTTATCTCTTATGGTAGTTTACAGCTAGACTCTTATCACTTTGAACGTATAGTGATTATTTATTAAGTTAAAGGACGCGAGAAATCGGCTCTTACATTCCAATCGTGTCGTTTTCTCGATGCATTTCCATATTTTTCACGTAGAATACGAAATTACAAACTTGTAACTCCATACATAGCACTTGCATATATATGTATATACCGACTTTTGACGTTCTCTCTCATTTTTTGAAAATAAAAATTAAGTGGGTCGGAAGCTTGTAGATATGCAAGAGACAACGAGTGCGTTCGTTTAACAGTGCATTCTACTTGCTATTCACATCTTTAACTTTCTCGAACATCACTTCTTGACATCGAGAAAATATAATCTTCTCATTAATTACGTGCAT